TGCATCTATATTAAGAGACTTATGGACATTTCTTGTATCTCCAACTCCATAGACACGAGTCAAATGGACATGTGAACAAAACTGCACATCTTCTTTAAACCCCTTATTTTATTGAACAAAACTTAATTATTAACTTATACATGAGACTGAGTGACACTATGTATTCATACAAAGTTTATAAGATTTGACATTATACAATATTTGAGAGATTGGGTTCAACGCATCATAGGGGTCGCTTGGGTCCGTCAGGATGGCAGTCTCTGCTGCATTGTTCGTCTTTGCTTTTGATGTTTACTTTCTAAGAACCCTTTGAAGTAATGCTTTCATGAATTCGAAACCGATTTCCTGGGGTTAAGACTCAATTTACATTCATGTCAAGTTGACATGTATCCACAGATAGGTATACCACACAGAGAATTTTGAGAGCAGAAGGCTTAGAAGAAAATGAATTTGGCTATATCTTTGCCTCGTTAAATGGATCAAGGTCAGCCTAAATAGCAGGTTTGTGTCGTTTTCTCTGAGGACATGGACATACATCAACATGATGCCTCCCATACACCCAATGTTACTCGTTTCCTTCAACGACAGCTTCCCTGTTCCAGGAAACTCTTGGTTAGGAAGGTGTAAGCTGCAAAAAGCTTTTCAACTGCTTCCTGAAATAATTGTTTAACGGAATCTCAGCCTGTTCAAGTCGGATACACAAACCAGCTCACTGCCTTCCAGTCAATTCTGACTCATCATGTGACCGACCTGTAAGACAGTCGGCTGCCCTGAGGGCTTCTAAAACTCGAACTCAACTGGAGTAGAAAGCCGCATCTTCCTCCCATGGTGGGTGGCCTGAGAAGAGAGGTGATCCCCCAAGACTCGCCTCAAAGCCCCTCTTGCTGTATTCCTCAATGCCAAACTAGACCCTGATCATTACCTAGTCTAGTCAGAGCTGCCTCCACCGTATTGAAAGCCCCCATCTAACTCGGCCTCTGTAACCTCAGAGAATTCTCCTGAGCTGCCCTCCCCACTCGGAGATGCTAGAAGACTCTGTGGAGGTAATGTTCTCCCTCAGGGCACAGACCAATCTTGGTTTTGTCTGATCAACAGCCTGCTGTTTTCCATAGGTGATAGTTTTGATGAGCCAGCATTCCGCAAGAAACCGAGGCTGGCAAAAAGAGGTCTTCTCTCTGATCTTTGATTTGAGCTGGGAGAAGGCAGCAGGCCGAGTCCAGGCCAAACCCAGGTGTTTGAGAAACAGGGACCATGGGGGAACCAGAAAAGCCCCTAGAGGGGGCGGGGAAACACATGGTCCAGCCAGCTGCTTCATTCTACAGGCAGGAAAAGGGCCTGGGGATTGATCATGCCTCTGAATTACTATGTTCAGTAGTACATATAAGGTGGTGCCCCCCACACACACCAAAAATGGATTTTTTTTCAAACCTATGTATTTAAATTTTTTTTTACAAAACAGCCTTATCACCTTCAAAGTATTCTCCATTTCACTTAATACATTTGTCAAATCTATGGTTCCATTCTGCGAAACATTTTTCAAACTCATCTGTTTGGATGGCTGACAGCACTTGCCTCGTTTGTTTCTTCACCTCTTCTACATCACCAAATCACTGTCCTTTCATGTTCCTCTTTAGTCACGGAAACAAAAAGAAGGTGCATGGAGTGAGGTCAGGTGTGTGGGGCAAGAGAGGCATGCTGTTTTCTGCCCAAAACTGGTGTCTTGAGATGGCTGCAGGAGTAGGTGCATTGTCATGGTGGCAAAACCAGTCTCCCGTCTGCCACAAATCAGGCCTTTTTTTGGTTGCAAACGGATACGCTATCTTTTCAGAACCTCTAAATAGAAAGCTTGATTAACAGTCTGACCTGGTGGAATGAACTCCAAATGCACTGCAGGTTGACATTTTTGTCTGTTTGGGAAGTTGACAGATATCCAAAACGTGGTTTGTCAGCAATCGACGTTTTACCTTTCTTTGAAATGAGAAAACCACTCATACACTAAAGTTTTCCCACAGTGCTGTTCTTATAAGCTCTGTTCAACATCACCATAGTTTTTGTGGCATTTCTCTCTAGCAGGAAACACAATTTCACAGCTGCATGCTGTTCTCTTAAACTGGCCATCACACACAAAAACAGGTTTAAGTGAAACTGCTTTTTTTTTTTTTTCATTTTACTGGGGGCTCATAGAACTCTTATCACCATCCATCCATCCATCCATCCATCCATCCATCCATGTGTCAAGCACATTTGTAAATTTGCTGTCATCATCATTCTCAAAACATTTGCTTTCTAGTTGAGTCCTTGGTATCAGCTCATTATTCCCCTCCCTCCCCACTCCCCCTCCTTCATGAACCCTTGATAATTTATAAATTATTATTATTTTGTCATATCTTACAGTCTGACATCTCCCTTCACCCACTTTTCTGGGAGGAGGTTTTATGTAGATCCCTGTAATCAGTTCCCCTTTTCTACCCTCCCCTCCCTCCACCCTCCCAGTATCGCCACTCACACCACTGGTCCTGAAGGGATCATCTGTCCTGGATTCCCTGTGTTTCCAGTTCCTATCTGTACCAGTGTACATCCTCTGGTCTAGCCAGATTTGCAAGATAGAATTGGAATCATGATGGGGTGAGGGTGGGGGCGGAGGAAGCATTTAGGAACTAGAGGAAAGTTGTATGTTTCATCGTTGCTACACTGCACCCTGACTGACTCGTCTCCTCCCCGCGACCCTTCTGTATGGGATGTCCAGTTGCCTACAGATGGTTCTTGGGTCTCCAATCTACAATGCCCCCCCCTTATTCACAATGATTTGATTTTTTGTTCTTTGATGCCTGATAACTGATCCCTTCAGCACCTTGTGATCACGCAGGCTGGTGTGCTTCTTCCATGTGGGCTTTGTTGCTTCTGAGCTAGATGGCCGCTTATTTACCAGAGTGAATCTGCTTTTACAAAAAAATTCACTGTGACCAGGGAAAACTTGCCTAGGCGACGCCACTGCGTGCACTAACTCAGAGGGAATTGCTTGATGCTCACCTAGTAGGAAAAATGTGTACTACGAAAGCTCTGCTGAGGGGTTTTCCCCAGTTTTTTGGGGGGTGCCCCCTCCTATTACAGTGAGCAAATCTTCACAGGGCTGCCACTTTGAGGACAAGGTGTGCCTGGGGTAAGCCATGGTATTTTTAATTGCCTCATGTGCAGATGAAAGTTGGAGACGGAATAAGGAAGACTAAGGATGGATGCATGTGAAGTAGTGTCAGCAAGTCTGTGGGACGAGGAACAGTCTTAGAAGTATAGCTCATTAGAAGCGAGACTTGGTCTCCCGTGCCTTGGACTTAGCGGGAGGGGCAGTCCCTGTGAAAGGACACTGTGCTGTTCAGTGGTGTGACCTTGACAAGATGGACTGACACCGTCCTGCGCCTGCACAAACGGGCTCAGACACAACCAGGAGGAGGGCCCAGGCCCAGGCAGTCCTTCGTCCTGCCGTGCATGGGTGCCTGGGGCCACACAGCCAGCACCAACTTGATGGCAACTAACCGCGGCTGAGGGAGGGCTTCAGTGGGTTAGCCCAGCACGGTCCAGGTCACTGGAGGGCTAGACGAATGCTCCCAGGGCTTCTGGTTCCTGGAACACGGGGTGCCTTTCTAAGCAGCTCCCCCAGGATGCTGATGCTGGAGACCCCGGGACGCGGAGGAAGGGCCTGCTCCCGGTGTACACTCTGCCACAGCTGCCAGGAGGCCGGCCGACCCGGCTGGCGTTTAGCTGCCGTGCAGCAGACCAGCTCTAGGGCGTGCATTCGGTCTGCTAGCTCTTGCTCCCCGGGGGACACTCTGAGAATACCCCCCTGCCAGCTCAGACTCCCCAGTAAGCCAGATACACTGGTCTGTGGACTGATCGAGAGTGAGCATCTTCATATGGGCTTTTCCCATGTGGAACTGTTCACATAGACTAGTGAGCAAGCATGAGTAGGCCTATGCTCACCTTATTAGGGAGCCCGACACTGATCTCCTGCTCTAGCGTTTGCTTTCAACAAGTAGGGCTGTTAACCTACGTCAGCAGTTCAAGACCACTCGGTGCTCCTCGGGAGAAAGGCTGTCTGCTCTCTTGGACAAAGAGGTGCAGCCTTGGAAACCCAACGGGCCAGTCACACTCTGTCCTGAAGGGCTGCTCTGAATCGGAACCAACTGGACGGCAGTGAGTTTGGGTTGGTGTGGGTCCAGCAGCACCCTGCCCCCGCACCCCGCCCTTGCTCTTGGCAGGTGAGTGGTGGGTTTGAGCGAAGAGAACGAATCCAAGGTCAGCCGGGCAGGTGAGCCCAATGCCTCCTTTATTGAAGACTCCAAGCTGAGGGCGCTGTCTTCCCGAGAGGGGCGGGCAACTCTCCAAGCTGAGCAGACTTTCTCAGGGAGCAACCGGTAAAGAAGCCTGGGATGAGGCTGTGGGGGAGCAGGCCACCTGCCGTGCAGGAGGGTCCAGAGATAAGAAGGCCCTGGCCAGGCAACCCGCCCTCATCCTCTGCTGGTGTGGGACCAGCTCTGAAAGACCCGAGGGAGGCCCGGCCAGAGCTGCTTTAGGGAGGAAGGAGCAGCCGCAAACCCCTGAACGAAGCAGGAAGAGTTTCACCCTCAACGCAAGGTCCGCCGCAGGGCTGCCCTTGGAAGCTTGCTTCCGGAACTGCGCAGTGCTCGAAGGAGTCCAGGTGGGTCTTGGGGAAACGCAGACCTAGCGCAGGAGGCCCGAGGAAACAGGAGCCCCTGCATTGCTACCAAACGCCCAGGGAGTGGGGGGTGGAGGGGTGGCGGACAGTCCTGGCCCACTGGCCCCTCTCAGAGCTGCAAGGCTCTGGCTACAGAATGCTTTTTTCTCTCAAAGGGACCCCCTTCTGGGGCTGGGAGGACGCAAACTCTAGGGCACGAGGTGAAGCACCCAGAGCCTCGGAGCCTCGGCCTGGCCTCGCCCCCAGCAGGCGAGGTGAACGGAGCCTGGCAGCGGCCTCTTTCCCAGGGCTTAGTGCACCAAGCAGGTGCGGTGGTCTCGAGCCTCTCAGGGCAGGGCAGCCACTGGACCAGGAGCACTGGGAGGAAGGCCTGAGTCGGGGACAGCTTAACCCTAGGAGGGGTGGAGTGGCCACTGGTCTGCAGGACGCAGAAGTTGCCTGGCCTGGCTACGCCTAAGTTCTGGGACCCCGTGGCTGCCTCCAAGTACTCCACCCCTCCCACAATTCCAGGGTAAATGAGGTCTGGGGCAGCTCCAAGTCACCTGCTCCACAGGTGAACAGGAAGTGGAGGTAGATAGCTAGATACTGGGAGGGTCAAAGGTTGGGGCTCTCCAAACCAAAGGTGCAGCCAAAAAGCAAGAGTGCCAGGCCCTGTCTGGGGAAGGCCACCACCATCCTAGTGTTAACACTGAAAATGTGACAACCTGGGACACCCTTAATCACAGGCAAACCAGGCGCCTCGGTCACCCCATTGCTTGGCCACATCTAGACCCCAGGTTGAGAGCTTAGAAATGACTCGGTGGTCAGGGCTTTGAGTAGTGACGTGGGAGCCTGGAGGCTGCAGAGCCCCCAGAGGGACTGCTGTGTGGCTTTCACAAGACCTCCGAGCAAAGCGGCAGGGTGAATGGCTGTTTCTCTTGGGGCCCTCCTCCTGTGGCTCAACGGTGGATGCCAGGGACACCCGGCCCCTCCCCAGGAAGGGAATGGCCTCAGAGCTCAGAGCACCAGGGACACCCGGCCCCTGCCCAGGAAGGGAATGGCCTCAGAGCTCAGAGCACGCTGGCCTGTTCCTTCGTCGGGGAAGCTCAGGGCAGAGGCGACCAGGGGTAGGCATGAGCTTCTGGGTGAACGTTCTTAGCCCTGCTTGGCCCTGTCGGTGGTCTCACCCACCCCAGCTGGCCCACTACTTCTGGCTCCAACCAGGGTGGAGGAGGGGTGCTCTGAAGGGTGGGTCTCCCCTGAGTCTGTTCTCAGAAAGCAATAAATAGTAAGAGGTTGTCTTCCTTCCATTCTGAGGGCAGCGTCTGGCTGGCCCAGCACTGACAAGTCCTCAAACCCCCAGGGCCCAGGAAATGCTCCAAGGTGGGCTCAGAAGGTGCCTGAGAGTTGGAGGCAAGTCTTTCCTAAAAAGTATCCAGGAGGCAAAGGGCACCCCCACCGCCCCTTTATCCAATTACCAAAGCTCAGAGATCGAGGGGTCTGGCCCCGCCACCTCATCCCCCCACTCTGGTGTGTCTGGGCCCCAACTGCTCTAAGCTATGTGCCCCAGGCCAGGGGCTGGCTGTACCCCGGCTTCATGTGCTGTCTGCCCCACCCTACCAGCCCCCAAGCTTGGCCACCCATGGGACTCCCTCCTCTCCAGGTGCTGGGCCAGGTGGCCTCTGTCCCTTGGTGGGCGGGCCGAGGAGGGTGGCCTATGGTGGGGGGGCTCGAGCCCCCTCCGGAGACACGAGCATGTCGAACTTGATGAGTGGCGGGGCGATGGCGCGCACGTCGGCACTCAGTGGGTTGAAGCGGAGGTTGACACTTCGCAAGGCTGGCATGGCGGCCAGCTGCTCCACGGGCACATCTGTGGGGAGAGGAGACAGTGAGGTGGGCTGCAGCCAAGCAGGCAGAGAAATGTCAGGGCCTGGACAAGGAAGATGATGGTAGTGGCGGGGAGCTGCTCTTCAGCACCCCCTGTACGTGGGGGCTCCTGGGTGTATGGGGGAAAGCAGCGTCAAAAAGTGTAACATTGACTTATTCCCAACCGCCGCTGCCGTGGCTTCTGACTTGGCATGAGCCGCAGAGAGGGCAGAAGTGCCCGGTCTCCAAGGCTGCCATCCTGAGGACAGCCCATCCTGCCTTCCTCCATGGAGGGGGCAGTGGAGTCTAAGGGCCCCTATGACCCGGCCTCCGAATTCACCCAAGGAGCTGATAGAAGCGATGGGAATGCTCACAGCAGACAGGTGAACGGGGCCCCGGTGTGGCGCATGCACAGTGGAGCCGCACAGGCAGTGCTTGGGCACGAGTGACCCTCGCGGCCTCCCAATGAAGGGAAGAGGTCAGGTGCACCATCCTGTCTGATTCTGTCCATGGGGGGGCCCCAGAAGAGGCGAATGCACCCAGACGGGAGGTTAGGGGTTGCCAGGGGCTGAAATCCTCCTTCCGGGGAAGACGCGCTCAGGAGGCGGAGAATGGCCAGGGACGGCGTGGAGCCCACTGGATGGTGCACTCCCAATGGTTCTCTTACGCGGCGAGAATGTCACCTTAGTCAGAAACGAACAAGGATCAAGGCCGCAGCCATACCAAACGCTCGGTGGCACTGAGCCTTCCTGACACCTCACCCTTAGGATGAGGTGCCCTGGTGGCCCTGTGGCTAGTACATGGCTGTTAAAAGAAAGCTCAGCAGTTCACACCCACCAGCTGTAGCATTAAATTAAAAGTGGTGCGGGGGAGGGAAGTGGGGGACCAGCCCCCACCGCTAGTACGCTCTACTAGTTCAGTAAGTACAATTGTATGGTTGAGATATATAAATATTATATTAAAGTCATCAAGAGCATGAGAGATATTACAATAATACAGTCAGACACGTTACATGGTAGCATTGCTCACCTCAGCCCAGCTTGGTGGTCCACGTGAAGAGAGGGGGAAGGGAAGGAGGGAAAGGGAACAAGGGAGAGGGGAGTGACCAGGGAGTGAGCAGCAAGGAGCTCAGAGTCAGAGAGCCCTATGTCGCTGACTCACGACTGTATATACCTTTTGGGGGCATGCCAGCCCACTAATTACAGGTAGAGACATACGTCACAGGGAGGAGCTGCACTATAGGTTACACAGCAATGAGAGGGTGGTCTAGGGGGTGGTCTCTGAGTCTCCATAGGAACCATTATCAGTAGGGTGCAAACCCCTCCTACAGGAGCCTGTCCATTGTCCTCAGAGGCAGGGAGCAGGTCCACCCCTGCAGTGGGATGAGACAGCAGTCTGGCAACTGATTGCCTTCAGGGGAGGGAATGCCTGCGCATCTGACCTCCCCCCACAACCAGCAGCTCCACGGTGGGAGGAGGGTGAGGCCGTGCTTATGTCCAGCCGGTGGTGGCTCACAGTGACCCTGGTGTGGCTTCTGAGGCAGCCGATGGCCTTCCCGGAGCAGAGTCTCATCTCGCTCCCCCGGGGCTACAGGCCCGTCTGGTCAGCAGACCAAGGCCTAACCCACGGCGTCACCCACAGGAGGAGCTCTCCCCTGTCCTACAGGGCCACTAAGGGGTGGAGGCAACGTGATAGCCATGATTGACCCTTTGGGACCATGCAGTCTTGAGTTGGAATTCCCAGGCCCACCACTCAACATGGGTTGGGCTCTGGCACATTCCTAAACTTTGCTTCAGGGCAATAATACCACCACAGTCTACATAGAACAGCGTTGTTTCAGCATGGATCAGATCATACACCTACATATACACGCCACAGAGTCCTCAGTGAATGCTCCCACCCAAACCTTATCAAGGTGATTCTGACTCCTCCTAACCCCCCTGGGCAGAGTGGAACTGCCCCTGCGGGTTTCCGAGATGGTAACTCGTCATGGGGGCCGAGAGCCTCCTCTTTCTCCCATGGAGCAGCTGGTGGTTTCCAACTGCTGACCTTGCAGCTAGCCACCAGAGCGCCTTCTGTCACTACTAGCTATTATTCTTGTACTTTGCTCTGTTGAGTCGCGACTTGTAAGGGGCTGAGCCGAGACCTGAATCTGGGTGCTCAGAAGGGTGGCAGGAGTGCAGTGGAGGGGCCGATTCCGGAGGTGGCAGCTCACTGAGGCATCCTGGATGGGTTTGAATGGCGGCGAGGGCGTGGAGAGGCTGTGGTTAGAGGGAGAACAAAACACAACTAGCTGCTGTCAAGCCCACCTCACCTCCTGGGCGCTTGCACGCTGCAGAGCAGACCTGAGCTCCACAGGGTTTCTGATGCTGGGACTTGCCAAAGGGGTTTTGTTAGGGAATTTAATAGGGTACCGAAAGCCAGGACCAGTAGACAGGACAGTCACCCGTCCTCAGCCAGCCGCCCCAAGTCTCTGAATCCCAGCCTCCCCGCTTGGCTAGTCTTGAAGGAAGCAGATCGCCAGCCTTTCTTCCACGTCCCACCGGGTGGATTTGAACAGCCCATCTCCCGATTAGTAATCTGTGCAAACGGTTTGCACCACCCCGGTTGCAGAGCAGGGATGGGGCATAAAGGCAGAATACCCAAGAGACGGGGGTGAGGTGGGGGGTGCACGGCAGCTAGACGGTGGCCTAAGAAGCATCTAGAAGCTTCCAGATCCTGAGGCCCCAACCATGTGATCAAGTTTCCCACGGCAAAGACTGCAGGGCCTCTCAGCCCAGGGAGCCGTGTGGGGCAAGCATGTCTGTTCTGTGCCGGACCATCTGAGTTCAAATCCCAGCTCGGCCACTGTCTGCTTGTGTATTCTTGGCAAGGGAATCAAACACACCGTGACTCAGTTTCCCCACATGGGGATAACAACAGTAACTACCCGTGAAGCTGACGTGAGGATGAAAGGAGTTAGTAAAGCCCTTAGAACAGTGGCTGGTCCCAGAACAGGCAGTGACGACCAGGAGCGCCAGCTCCAAGTCCTGTCCAGGTGACGCTCCTGGCTGCTCTCTCTGCTCTGGTGCAGCTTTCTGAGAAGCCCAGGTCCTATAGGAGCCCACCTGCTCCGCACATGTGGCTGGAAAACCTCGTGGGTGGTGTCCCGTTGGGGTGGCACCTCCGCAGGCAGGGACAGAGGATGTCCACCTGCCCCACCAGCAGCGTCCACTGGGGACGGTGCTGCAGATTTCCTCGTCCTGTAATCAGAGGGTTTTCCTTTTCCTCCTCTGCAACTGACCAGCTGTCCCTGGGACAGGGGCATCTCATGGAAATTGAGCACCGCTGCCCCCACGGGTCGCATCTCTGGAGGGCTCGTGGCTTATCAATGACTTCCCAAGCCCCGCACTCCTGGGCAGTCAATCACGGCCAGAGCTCACCCTCTCCTCTGCTTACTGACAATGTTTCCAGTGGCTCATAATTCATCAGGTGCTTCAGCACTCGAGTATTCAAATTGCCCCGGACCTGGCCACAGGGAGCCCCTTCAATCGGGCTCCTGGGTCTGGCATGTCCCTGTCATGGTTCTGAAAAGCTGCTTCCTCTCTGCAAGGCTCTGTGTGAACCGTCACTGGCCCCGTCCTGGAAGCAACCACTTCTGCAAACAGTCCGGCTTCCTCTCTGTAGGAAGGGCTTCCGTGCTAGGGGGCTACACGTGCCACACCTCACCCATGCGGCACGTGAACGCCAAATCTGTTGACTTGAGTCAGTGGTCTGGTACACCATGCCATGCGCCCCCATGCCCTCCCTCTCTTGTGCAAGGCCCTGGCACCTCCACTGCCCTAAGGTTCTGGACTCACGCCATGGGCAGGGTTGAACTGCAGGGTCACACGTGTGTGCACATGGGAGGACATGCTTTGTGTACACTTCATCTGGCTGCTCGGAATCTTGCCAAGACACCAGGAGCTCCAGGCACCCTGTGGCCACAAGGGCTTTCAAAAGAGGGCATCTGGCCCCACCCATGCCACCTCCAGGGTCACAGACACCCCAGCTCCTGACTTTGAGCAGGGGAGTGAGCCCCAGACCTGCAGCAAAGTTTCTACAGGATCCAGTGTCCAGTCCAGGTAGGGGGAGGGGCTCTGCTACCTCCACTTGGGCAAGAGTCCCCAAGACTGAGTGTCCTGGCAGTAGGTACTATCCTCCCCGCGGTGCTTGGCACTAACTATGGTGCCCTCTTTGAGCTCTTGGAAGAAAGGACAGGGGAGACCGCTAACTCATGCATATGTCCATATTACACAGGAGTCAGAAAGTCTGCCCATAGTTGATCTTCTCCAGGGCCCTGGGTTTAAGGCACGTGCTCCTCTGTCCACTTCACAGATGAAGAAACCGGGGTCTGTGCTAGCTACTGAGACGACTACACTCTAAGGCTATAGGAAAAGGAAGCCGGCCTTGAGTCTCGGGTTTTCCCAGCAAGAGCAACAGCTGCCTGAGCTGCTCACTGGGGGTTAGGAGACGCAGCAGGACCTCTGGGAAACAGCCCACTGCAAGGTGCCGTGAGGCCCTTGTCTCCACGGGCTGCTGGCCAGGGGCTGTCCAGAGCCCAGGAGAGAGACTCAGAGCTGGGAGGGCTGGCATGGCTCAGCTCCACACAGAGCAGAGAGCAGGCGGGTTCCAGGAAGGAAGGGCCAACAGCTGAGGCTTCAGGGAGGGGGCAAGTATCCAACCACATCCCTCCCGCTTTTCCAGGACCTCACTGATGTGACTAGTAGCCTCTGGGTCCTCCTTTGTCCTGCTGCGTGCTGGTTCTGACTCAGGGCACGCCCCCAGGACAGGGGAGAGCTGCCCCTCAGGTTTCCCTGGTTGTGATCGGAATGAAAGGCTTGTCAGGCCTTTCTTCCACGGCAGCAGTGGGTGATTCGCTCCTTCAGATGACCAACGATGGCCATCACCTCGAGTCTCCCATAACAGGGAGGGGGCTGCATTTTCCAAGAGTGAGCAGGCTGCCTGTCACTGTTGGTGTTCCTG